TGTCAAAAATGGTTGAATAGTGACACTTTCATATTGTTCAAGATAATATGCATTGAATACCCTGTGGGCAGTACCTTTTTCTCATTGGAGGATGTGGGATGGACAGAGTTTTTGAAAACAGCCACTACAATAAAACTTAGGCATCTGGTTTACCAACTTGCTAGCAATGCTGACAATACCTTTGGCACAAACCTCTAAGTGTTTTTTCCACTCTGGCTTTAAAAAAAATGTTAAATTAATTTTATACATTACATGTTCCTATCTCTTTTACAAAAAAGTTGATGTTTGAAAACTGGATAAAAACTGAGTTGCTGGTTTAAAGAAATAGTACTACTTGGATATTTTTCATTATGTTTAGTCTGGGTATTTTTGTTTAAGTCAGAAAGAATTTCTCATTAGTCCTCTTTTTAATCTGGGGTAAGGCAGGATCAGTTCCAAAAGTTGTAGTTTCTTCAGAAAATTTGGAGCAAATCAATGAATAAATCAAGATAATTTATTTAACACATTGACTGGCACACTAGAAAAAATTTTTTCCTTGTGGCCATGGTGTTTTATTACAGAGATAGAATAAAAACTTCAAAAATGAAATGATCCTTTCTAATTTAATGACAAATTTGTTATTTTTTATTGTTTTCTGTGTGTGAGTTGTATGCAACTTGAAAAATAGTTCATGCTGCTCAAGATAAAGAGCTGCATGAGTTGCTTGAGGCCCTGTGCTCAAAACTAGTATGAGTTACATACAACTTATGTAGTAGTTAATGTATTAAAAATTACAGTCCTGGTTCTGTAGTGGTGAAGTGAGAGAGAAGGTTGCAGATTTGTGTTTTTCCAAAAGGGATTTCAGGCAAAATAAGTAGAAATTTTTTTTGTCACTTTTTAAAAGTGTTTATATAAACTATAAGTGAGTGTATGCTCTTGATAAACATTTAATAAAATAGATTAATCTTTTAAAAAAATTTTGGCAAAGAAAGTGTTATAGAAAACTAACAGTGAAAAGTTATTTTTTAAGAATGTTTTCCTGAAACTGTAATTGCTTTTTTCGAGTTGACTGCCGAAATGGTTTCCTAATGACGCTTTGTTACTCTGTTTTATTTCAACAATACATATGTAGTAATGTTGTTCCTATTTTGATGAGAGTCTGAAAACCCCACAAAACACTTTTTTAAACTAAGAATTGCTTTTGATACTTCTCTTTGATTATGAAAATAAAGCTGTTGTACTTTCTCTGAAGTTTATATGTTGTTAAAATGAAATTTTTTTAAAGGAAAGCTATATAGGCAGGAATCTAAATAAAAATTAGGTTTTTATTCGATCAGGTCAATATGAGGGAATGTAATTAAATTCAAGTATTGGCTTAACTAGTTTTTTGACTTATTTAAATGGCTCATATAATTTGTTATAAGTGATAAAGAAAATATGTATTTGATACTGTGTTCTTTAGTATTTGTTATTTTTTCATCTAGTGATTAAGTTAGGGTGTCCTTTTCAGTGTATGACATTGCTTTCCCATGATGTAAGGTAGTTAATACATTTTCCAGTGATTCTTGAGTGTTGGAATGTGAAGAAAATAGGGATGAAAGATTCTTTCTTGGTGTTTTTCTATTTTATTACTAACTGATCATCTTACTAGCTCACTGTCTGTCACCACTTTATAGTTAGCTTGTTGGCATTCATGTGTCATGTATTGAGTGCATATTCAAGGGATTTTTCTAGAATGCCTTTTGTAAATTAACCTTTTTCTAAGATATTTTCCCAAACCAAGTTTATTTTGTAGCAGGGATGGTCATCATTCTTATTGGTTCTTTTTATTGGAGAAGAGTATAAATGTGGGAAATTATAGAGAGAGGAAATAGAATGGCACAGTGGGTTGAGGGTAGGAGAATATCACATGTGCAACTTTTTATTTTTTTTAAATGAATATCTTGATGGATAGGGGAATAGAAATGTTAAATACAATTGCTAATGTATTTGACAAAGTATGGCTGCCAAAATGACCTTTTTGTTATATTTTGACATGAACAGTTGTCCTTTTATTGGGGCCATTAATGCTGTTTTGGAACATCATAGGCTTCTAAAGGCAATAGTTTAGCAGTGTCCATAAAGCATCGAATACTATTATAACATCTAGTAACCCTAACAGCAATATTTCAGAATCGCTGCCTGTTTAAATGGGCTATCTGTGAATGTACTTGCTCAGGGATGCATGACCCACATCACCTATAAATTTGATTGGAAGCTATAGTGCTGGCATAGGCTGATGGATAGCAGATTAGAGCCCTGATTAACCATGTGATTTGAAGACTGGGAATATATTGTCTAAGCAAGATTCATCAGATGCAATCAGAATTTCAAGTGGTCAGATGAAATTCAAATGTGTATTGTGGCTTTCTTCCCCTAGTGCTTTTCCTCCTAGGCTGCTTTTTTTCCCCTTCTTTCCCCAAAGCTGAAAAATACTTCTTTGATGAATCTGCTCCTTACCCTAAAGCTGTCTGTCTGTTATTCATCAGAAAGCAGGTCGCAGTTCAGTGAGCAGAAGAAAAGATTTTAATAGAAGCTGTGCCAAGGGCTGTAATGCATCATTTTAGGGCCCTAATTACATTACAATGACAAATATCAATGGTGACAACAGCAATAACCTACATCCTTTAATGGCTGTGCTGGAAAAGGAGTTTGGGCCCCCGCCATTAGATTAGACTCAGTTTCAAAACATAGGCCATTGGAAGTGTGTGTCCACAGTGTTATTGGCTGATGGCTGGAGCCTAGGGGAAAAGGCCTGTAAATAAATGATGCCTCCCCAAAGCTGGGTCCTATGGGACAAAAGAGGCAAAATTAGATGACCATAGAAGCAGCAGTGTTTCCGAGGCAACTTTAGCTTTCAAAGTGAGGAATGACCTGCTTAATTTTATGAAATCACACACATGTCCCACCTCCCCTGCTGCCAATTAGCTTGACCATGAAAATCCATTGGCATGACAACTTAAAGAAATTAAGAAGTCTTTTAAACAAAAGGAGACCTTTAAAGAAAAAGTTTGAAAGATTCCTACCCTCCTTTTTCTGTTTGTGTTAACATACATGAGTCAGTAAAAAGGCTTTTCTCTTTTTTACAATTATTTTTAAGAAAATGTAGAATTCTTTTAAAAATAATTGCTCAGACTTAGAATAGCTGAGGTTTAAAATTTTGGTCTTTATTTTGCCAGATGAATAAGTTTCCTTAGAGTAGTTTTTATTGCCTAGATTATGTAGGCAAACTAAAAAACTCAGTTTTCTTATGTGCCCACACATTTTTCAACCCTCCTAGCAAGGGACTATTTTATTTATGTAAACAACATAATGAGGAAAATATGCTTGGCAGATGGTTCTAAGCATTAGAATCATCAGTTTGGTCTGCCCCGAAGTGTCTCATTATCTTTTATTCTCTCCCCCTCCACCTCTCCCTGCAAAAAGCTTAACAACCAAATGCCTTTGAGACACAGTACTTTCAGCCTGGTGAATGCTACTCTGTTTTCCTAGCTCACCCTGGAATTTCACCCCATAACCACTGTGGTATGTTCGTCCAGGTGGAGAGTGGTTTGGTGATTCCCATTGCAGCTTTTCATGGTGGTTTAAGCATTCTTAAAGGATGGCTAAATGCTCCGTGGGGCCAGTGCAGTAAATTAAATCAGGTCAGCACAGTGGGTCCTTATTCACTGCTGCTTATTGGTGCAGGGTTTTTGTCCATCTTGTTAGGAATGCAGGCCAGAATGAAAAGCTTAGGTTTGAAACTTCATGGTGAATTTGTGTTTTCTGTTGGCTGGCAAAGTTTTTAAGGTGCTGGCATTTGAAAGATTGCATAGCTACAAAGTCAAGAGGGTTGCTGATGAAAGAAGGAAGCCTAGATTGCACAAGTAGAGTGTCGCTGTCATTCTGGTAATGACTTAGCAAGAAAAAGAGCATTTTTATCCTCTCATAAAATGAGGAACTGACCCTGGATGGAATATATTTTAAGATTGTCTCAAGAATTATAATTGCTTTATGTTTTCTGCCTTTCAACACTCTGAACTCTCCTTTCCCCCATCCAATCATTAAAATATGAGCTATTTTATATGTATATGTATAAAAAGCTGAATGTTTACATTTGACAGAGTATACAAGGCACCATCTAAAAATAAAAAGATAAATATTGGTAAAGCTCTGGGTAGCTTTTTAAAGAAAACATGTATTAGTAGTTTTTCTTTTTTTTAAAACTTACTGTAGCATTCTACTGGTATAAAATTTGTGTACTTCCAAAAATTATTAGAGAATAGATTGTTATCTGACATTGTTGTGACTTTTGCATATCTTTACTAGAAAGATAATGTTCCCAAGGATAGTCTCCAGGTATATACAGGTTGCTTTCTGCTAAGTATAGTAAAGATTTTAGTATGTCTCAACTTCTACACATTGAAAACCTCCTATTTGCCAACAGTTTTGTCTAAGAATTTGAATTAGCCAAATTATTTGGATTGGTTCGGTGCTATTATTTCAGGATGTTGGGAACTTGAGTGTAAAATCCCAGTCCCAGTGTTTTTCAAGCAAAGACCACAAATATAAAAATCCTAAGTTATTAGTTGAAGGAGTTGGGTTGTAGGGAAGAATGTATTTTTACTTATCTAAACTCTTAAAGACTTAGGTGATTGAGGGTTTTATGAAAAACAACATCAGCATAGGCAAGGGTCATGGTGAAAGCTTTTGAAAACTGATTTCCAGTCATGAAGATTAAATTTTTTTATATTGCCCTGGTGCTTGAAGGTTAACTTTTGAAGATGAACGCTGGTTAATAAATTGTGCTGTTAAATGTGGCACTGTTTTCAGTGCCTCCTTTTAATGGGCTTGCTGATAAGATAGTTTCCCTCTTCCTTAGGAAATACATTAACCAGATTCTAAAGCATATTTTAAATATCATCCTGTTAATATTTTGGGAATCCATAATCAGCTGACTGTTTTCTTTATTGCTTTTTTTCTTTTGTTTTTTTTCTTTGCAGGCAGAGATTGTCAAGAGGCTGAATGCTATCTGTGCACAAGTCATTCCTTTCCTGTCCCAAGAGGTAAGGTAGTTGATTTCAGGTACTGGGCTAGAAGTTACCATTTTAGTAGTTTTGCAGGAAAGGGATTGTGGAGCTGACTCTCTGGCCTTGTCAGTCTCTTGGTGTTTGTATTTTACATTTCTAAGAAACAGTGTTCTCTTTCCAACTTTGACGCTTTGTTACCTTTCAGTGAAATATAATTTAAATGTGTTTATATAAATATAATGAAATATTTTCTAATTGGCAAAGCAAAATTTAATTGTTAGAACATTTTGCTGTCCTTGTACGGTGTAGTGTTGCTCAAAATTATGCCTGTTTGTCATAATGGCATCTAACAGGGTAGATTGAAAAATTGCTGGGAAAACAAGAGCTTGTTCTATATTTTTGTCACTGGGCATTAAGAGTTGGCAGAAGACATGTCAAATAGCATGGCTTTACATAGTAAACAAACTAATGTAACTTTTGGCTAGCCACTTTCAGAAAGTTACTTATTATTACCTGATTAAGTCTCTATATTGTCTATGCATTTGGGAAAAGATTGGACTCAGTGGATTCATTTCTCTGAGTGTTAGTTTTGTTAAAATTAGGCTTTGGTGACAAGGGCTTTCACACATTGCCAAGGCCTGGTGTGTAGCTCACTAGTTTTCTCTTGCTCACCACCAGGGAAAGTGTACGTTGTCAATAAATGCACACAAATTGGAATGAGGAGATGCATTTCTAGTGTTTGGTGGCATCCTTATGCCATGTACACCACTCCCACCCCCACGTTTGCCTGCTTGCTTTTGGTAATTATAAAGTTTGAGTGAGAATACTAGGAAAAGATAAATTTTTGCTTATAGATTACTGAATCATTCATTTGCTCAGATAAGATCAGCTGTATGAAGGGAAGAAGCTAATGGAATGTTTGCATGTCTTATAGCCCCAATACTTTGTTTTGTGGTCTGAGAAGGCATAGAGGTGCTTTCTTCTCACCCTTTTAGTTCTGTGAGTGTGTTGTGTCACAGCTTTTCAGAGGAGCAGTTCATTTACCTGCCTGCCAAAGGTCATGTGCTGATTTAGCATGCAGCCAGCATTTGAATGTGTATTATAGATATGCAGATTGCCATATATGACTTCTTATTTGGTCGAACTGTCAGGTTGAACTTGAGTAACCATGAGTACTTTTTATTGGTATATGGTGGGGAGGGACACTCATATTCACAAACCTGGTTAACATCCTGAATTCACAGGCTCTTCTTCTAGATCACAAAAAACAAAGGATGTATTGTCTTTCTCCTTCTTTAGTTGTGACCATGAAACCGCCACCAGTCACATCCCCATTTACCTGTAAGATTTGCTTGTGATTAGATTAGATGGCTTGGTGAACAAGAGTCAAGGGGTGTATTTGTATTTCTTTAGGAAGCCCCTTGCCTGATCCAGACCAGTGTGTATTTATTAGTTCAAGCAGCTCTGCTTTACACAGATGGAGAATGGGAAGAATGTGTGACCCGTAGAGCTGTAAGCAGGCTGGGATGTTGTACCCTATGGTGGCAGGGAAAAGTTTGAATTATCCCTGGGGTGGTGGTAGAGTTTGGGCTTCTGTAGGCACAGATCCCTGTATATAATCACTGGGACAGCTTTGTTCCCATGGCATTTCTGTGGGATCTGTGGGTTATGTTCAGAAGTGGAAGGAGGTCTTGGCGTTGGTGGAGCTGATTTGCCAATAAATCATTTTCCCACATGAGTTATGTTGTCTGTGTGAGCAGACCCAGTAGGAACAGAATGTGTAATGGTAGTGGTGCTAAGCAAGACTGGGCTGGAATTAATTGGCTAAGGAAGTGGTTTCTACCCTGCCGAGGAAAGCCATGGGGAGATAGGCCTCATACTCTTCACCACTTAACTATTTATTTCCCTAACACTTGGACGTTTCTTGTTTGAAATCCTTTCTAAATGCTAATTCTGTATTTATTATTCGGATTTAATTTGTTCTTCTAGTTTCCTAAAGTGTGTGTATATCTTTTAATGTGTGGGCGGCAAACATGTTTGTTCCCTTCACATCAGGGCCTCTCTTATGTTTTGTGTCTGAGCATTGCCCACCTTGTTTCCTCTTCTGGGCATTCTGTGAGCATCAGACTCCTTGCTTCTGCCCTGAGGCCAGATGGACCATAATCTGGAGGGAGGGGAGGAGCAGGTTATTAGAGGAAGATGAATTCTATTTCCTGTCTCTTCAGAGGCATGGAAAATCACTCTTGCATGGCTGTGAGCATCACTCTGTGCCAGGACTGAAGGCTCTTAATCTGATCTTTTAACACCGGCTCTCTGTGTGATAGTCTCACTGCCAAAACGGCAGCTGCAGCATTAGAATTTATTTTAAAATGCTTTTATTTAAAAATTAAATGATTGTGTTTAGAAAAGAGAAAACCATTCCATGAAAACTAGTACATAAGCCACAGGACAGTGATTAGAGGTATTGTGAGCATCTGAGGTCAGGCTTTTTAGAATTTAATAGGAACAAGAGGTAAATTTACATACATTTAGATGAAATCTCTTTTTAATTCGGCCCCCATGTTATGATTAATATACCTGCTGAATATTGCTTGTGTCTAGTTTATCATGTTATCTAAAATTAAAAATATATATATGTATAGTACTAAATGACAACAATTAAATAAATTTAGTTTTAACTGGAAGGCTTTTTTCTTTTTTAAGAAATGAGTTGTATAATTGTACGTGAAGTATGTCTGTATATACAAATCCTAGAAAAAGTATTTTCTTATTAGATTTTACTAAAACATTTAAAAAAATTATAGCCAGTATATATTTTAATGATGTGCTATTGCATTCACATACAACTACTTCCAGAGTCCTAGGCATTTGACAAAGATATTGCCAACTCTTGTCACTAAAAGTGAGTAACTGTCTCTTATGGATCTTAGACTTTCCCAGGATCCTTAATATCAGAATTTAGAGAAACCTTGTGAATCCACATATGTCCAACATGTTCTTTTCTCCCACTTAACTTTTTGGCTTTTAGGAATGGGCAAGACTGATGTATATTCTCCTGCCCTCAAATTTCTTCTTCAAAAGGCAGATCTCAGGGTAGTAAGTGGGAGACTCTTTCCTTTCCTGATTTGGATCTTATTTGCAGGGGAAGAACTATAAATAATCAACTCTGAGTTGGCAGTTCCATAAAAAAGAGATGCCAGGATGATGACAGTTGGATCTGGGAAGAGTCCTGGCCTCCCTGTTACAAATTATGCGGCTTACTCTAACCGAGCTTAAGCTGGGTGACCTTTAGCAGTAATTTGCCTGTCTAAGCCTCAGTTTCCTCATTTGTATGAGGAGGTTAATAATAGCATGGAATTCAGTTTAACACATAGTAAGCACCTCTTGCTGTTAACTAGTATCTGCAGCAGTGGAAATGGAGCTCTCAGTTTCCTCTTGGGTGGACCTGGAACCAACCAGCCCTTCTTGCCCTTTTTAATCATTACATTTTTGAAGAATGTGAATTGGTTATCTTCTCTAAGGTCCTTCTTAGAGAGGAAAAAAGTATAAATTAAAACCTTAACCGAGGCCAGGTGTGGTGGCTCACACCTGTAATCCTAGTACTTTGGGAGCCCAAGGTGGGAGGATTGCTTGAGGCCAGGAGTACAAGACCAGCCTGTGCAAGAGTGAGACCCTGTTTCTATATGAAATAGAGAAATTAGCTGGGCATGGTGTTATCCCAACTGCTAGGGAGGCTGAGGCAGAAGAATCACTTCAGCCCAGGAGTTGGAGATTATAGTGAGCTTGATGATCCCATTACACTCTGGCCAGGCAGAGCAAGACCTTGTCTCAAAAAAAAACCTAAACCCAGGGCTCTGAACTAGCTAAAAATCTTAGTGGTCCCATCCTCCTCCACCCCCGCCATTGTCAGTTTCTGGATATGGCTTATAGACCTTTAGACCTTATGTGTTTTCAGTAACACTAAAAGTTACCAGTAAATGCTGTCTTGCTTCTGGTGTCCCAGTAACAGCCCTACCTACCCCGCCTCCCCCCATTCCAGGAACATAACCTACATACAGGAGATTTTAATGTGGATTGAAAACTATGTATCACTATTACAACCTGGCAATAAGGGGCAGCATTTCTGCTTACTTGGAATTGGATCTGCTCTGCCTCTTTACTGGCTTTGTGTTAGGAAAGTTGCTCTCTCTAAGCCTTAGTGTTCCTATGGAATGGGGAGAATAACCCCATCTTTATAATGTGTATTGTATGTATTAAAATGTAAAGCACTTGGCAAAGTAAATGCTATTCCTCCTCCCCCCTTCATTTCCTATTATACTTCCAGGGAAATGGAGTCTATTTCAGGTTATATTGGGTCCTGAAACATTTGGAGAGTCTTAAGAGAATCTTAGTAAACACTGGAAAGAGTTAAAGGTAATATTTTGGAATAGGCTGGCTGGCTGGCAGTCTTCCTGTGAGTTAGCTAGGCCTTGCAGTGTCAGTGGCTGCTTCTAACAGTGGGCATCTAGCTTCACACAATTTATCTTTCAGAAGTAAGGAAGTATTTTATTCTTTTGGTAAGCCAGTAAGTATTTGTCTTAACCTATTAGATTAAGTGTTAAATATCAGTTACTTAGTTGAGGACCTGTTGGAGGACAGTTTTGCAGTTGTGTTTTTTGGTGCTCCTATTTTCCTATAAGGGTCATTTCTAAGACAGGCAGAGTATGTTAGGACTGGGCAGAGGCCTGTTAGGAGCTGTGCATCACCGCCCGAGCTCTGGTCCCCCCCACCTCCACCGTCCACGTGGAAAAATGATACGAGCCAGTGAAGTTTCATCTGTATTTACAGGCCCTCCCCATCTCTCCATCACCACATAAGCTCCCCTTTCTTCTCCCCACTTTCTGTGGAAAATTTATCTTCTATGAAACTGGTCCCTGGCCAAAAAGGTTGGGGACCCCTGTTTTATGATAATCAACAAAGTATTCCTAAGATCTTTGAGAACCTCGAACTCTTAATAGGCTTAGGTTAGTAGGTGAAAATTTTATTATATTAACAGT